TCTATCTATCTATCTATCCCCTCTCTCTCTCCAAGTGCCTTTTTACAGGCTTAGCTTGTCATATGCTTCTTGAGTGGGGTTGATCCAATTTGATGGTACACACACACAAAATAATAAAATTTTTTTTAAAAGTCATGTATTAAGATTAGGCGTGTGTGTGCACTTTTCTCTATCTACCTTATCTAAATGTCATCTTTACCTATCTGCCATCTATTTGTCATCTATCATTCTATCTATCATCTGTTTATCTATCTATCTATTGATCCACTCTCTCTCCCAGAGCCTTTCACAGGCTTGGCTTGTCACATGCTTCTTGAGTGGGGCTGACAGCAGGCAGGACGTTCCCCACATCACAGCGACTTGGACTATTTAGGTGACACACAATTGCACCATTTACATCTGATTGCGAGATTACAACACACTTGAGAGTATTGTTAAAGCACTAGCTAGGTTTTCATTCCCACTCCCCCCACCCCAGTTAGTTTTGCTTCTCATGTGCAGCTGAAGCACTGCCCGGTTTCTGAAACTGTTCTAAAAGAATTCAAGTCAGGCCAGATCACAAGATGTTGTTAGCAGACAAACTGCAGATGTTGGCAGTGGCTACTGAGGCCATCCCTTCTGATGGTGATGCCAATTGGAGATGCCATATTCATCCCCTGCTTCTTTGGCCCCTGGTGTTTGAGGCTTAAACTATCACATACTCTGGTGAGGCACTTGGGCATGCTGGCTCTATTTCCTAAAACAATATCCAGACAAGATAGCTCTGAGCTACACTTTATTCTAAAATACAGCACAGCCGGAATAATTCAGCAACCATCAGGAAATATGCTTTATGTATTCTAAGTTGAAAAAGCAACATCCGTGCCAAGTAGACATCTTTAATTAGAAGCAACACTTGAATCTGTATTTCCCTCTCAGCTCCCTCCCCAGAGCAGGGGCCAAATCAATCACCACTTGGAATCTTGTTTATTCTGTGAGAAATGAAACATTTAAAAAAAAAATATAACTTAATCTCTTACACACATGCCTGGCACGCTGACCTGTCAAAAGAGCACACCTATTTAATCCCACAGGAAACTGAAGTCATGGCTATTTTTACCTGATGCTCAGCCATCTGGCTCTCGGGACTCTTGCCAGTCTCCAGGCCCTCATTCAGCTTCATCTCGATGACCTCCATCTTCGTGGAGATGGACTGAAGCGAGTCCTGGTACTTCTGCTGGCGTTCCAAAGCTTCGTAGAGTGTCCGCTGCTTCTCACTGATCTAGAGCAGAGAAGGAACAGGGGGCATGAGTAAAGGTTTCTGAGTTCCTTATCTTCCGGGTTACAACATGTTTCCTCACTGCTTTTACCTCGGTGGCTCAACAGAGGCAGTGCATGATGTGTCAACTCCACGCATGCATTTCATCAGAGAACAGCTAAGAGGTGCGGTGGGCTCAAAAAGCCCTCCTGTGCAGACTTACCACATTCTTGAGGGTCTCCCAGGAACGCTGCAAGTCGTCCAGCTTGGCCGTGGTGGAGGACTCCAGTCCCGGCTCATAGAACTCCGGGGAGGAGGCTGCACTCGGGTGAATCTTTGCTGCCTCTGTTTGCAACCTCTCAGGAGACAAGGCTTGGTAATAAGCAATGTCCTGTGAGTGCAAAGCACAGCACTGCATTGAGAAGGAAGGTGGTATCTGCACTAACAGGCTCTGGCTTCTACGTCAAGTAGACAAGATGCATTGACCACCGACTTGTCTTTCTTACATGCACTGGCTATACTTTGTCAGGTAGAAAAGAAACTTTCACAGCCCTGCTAGTCGAGGGCTGGAAGCTTGTACAACTGGCCAATTCATGGAACAAGGAGAACGAAAGGTTAAATCCCACTTTATCAAAAGCACATTTTGATTGCTAGGGAATTTTGGTTTACATAAGTAGCTTTTCTAATATTTTATGTGGCCAAAATGCATTCTTTTCCTTTTTTTTTTTTTGAGACACAAACACATAGGATATCAAGGGTATACTAATATTTAAAGATTTAGTAAACAATAGAATGGAAAAACCTAACCCAAGTGCCAGAGAGTTGATTCTGAGTTATGGCGCCCCCGTGAGTCGGAGAGTACAACTGCACCCCATAGTTTTATTTGTTTTTGCAATTCAAAAAAGTGCTCATTTTGCTTTTGTTGGAATGTATCCAGCAAAACATACACCAACTCAGCCATGTCTCTACGTACAATTCAGTGAGACAGACTGCACTCTTCACGTTGTACAATCATTCATCCTCCATTAACACAAACTCAGCGTCTGAAGAGTGTCACCGAATCTTTTGAGTTGCTGTTGTCAATTTGATCATGTTGTTCCTAAATAAACGTACTGTTCAATGCAGTTATTTTCCTCCCCCCAGCCAATTCAAACTCCTGACTAAATCTAAGGTTTGGTTGTCGGAAAAATTCAAGAGATCTCTTTGGTGGGTTCATAGGGTTTTAAGTGGTTGATTTGGGGATAGCGGACGGCCAGACCTTTCTTCGCAGTAACATCTGGGTGAACTTGAATTGCAGAGCATTTAATTAGCAGTTTAGGCTGTTAACCACTTGTACCATCCAGGGACTCCAATACCAAAAAAAGGAAAATCTTATTTATCTATTTAATAAAATACTATTTAATATCTAGATTGAGGGTTTGGATAATTCAAGAATACTTGTTTTATATAAAATTAACTCTATAGCTAGCTGTTTTTTTTTCTGTTGTGCCCAGATTTTATTACTTGCACATCTATAGAAATTACATATTTGAATTTTACATAAAAATAAAAATAAATTTAGTTCTGTAAGACAAAACACTTAATCAAGTGCTACAGATCAAGAACCCTATCCTTCCAAATGGGTTACATCTCAACATTAAGAAAACAAATATCCTCACCACCGGGCCAACAGGCAACATCATGACAGATGTAAAAAACATTAAGGTTGTTGACAATTCCATTTTACTTGGATCCTCAATCAACACACGATAGCGGCAGTCAAGGAATCCAAAGCTGTGCTGCACTGGGGAAATCTGCTGCCTAGGATCTCTCCAAAACTCCAAAAAGCAAGGATGCCTGCTTAAAGAGTAAGGTACGCCGAATGCAAGCCGTGGCATTGTCAGTTGATTTGTATGCATCTAAAAATTAGTGAAAAAGGAAGACCGAAGAATAATATATATCTTTGAATAGCGGTGCTGAGGAAAAGCATTGTATCTATCATGGGCTATCAAAATAATCAACAAAGCTGTCTTGAAGAAGTATAATGGAGTGTTTCTTAGGGGCAAGGATGGCAAAACTCTGTTTCGCTTTGGGCACATTTTAAGGTGTTATCAATCCTTGGAGACAGACATCCTGCTAGGAAAGGTTCGTAAAAGAGGAAGACCCTCAATGAGATGGATTGTCACGGGGACTATCAAAAAGGGCTTGGACGTGACAGAGATCGTGAGGATGGCACAGGAGAGGGCAACGTTCAGATCTGTTGTTCACAGAGTTGCAAGAGTAGTAGGTGACTCGACAGCACCGAATGACAATAGTTTTAGAAACACGTCCATTCAACTCACAGCTGCGCCTCCAGTGGGCTGCTGAGGCTGTATAAGGATTGGGAGGAGAACGCTCATCTTTCTCCCAGGCCGTCACTGAAAGATTCAAACTGTCTGAGAAGCACAGTCTCTGGGTGAGCAGCATGGCTTCCTATGATCTATACCACCAGAGCTCTCTTAATTTTAGATCATGTATGATATTAATAGGGAAAATAAAAGTACACTAAGAAAGACAAAAATTTCTTTCCATGCAATTACTGGAAGCACAAGAGATCACGAAAGGGTATTTTTTTCAGTTCTTTGTATCCCTTCTGTTTTAAGAAATGTTGTTGTGTGCTGTTGAGTCACTTGTGATTCAAAGAGACCCTATGCACAATAGCTCTGAACCCTGCTCTATCCTGAGCCAGTCTCATTGACTTCTACACACCTATCCTCATTATCCTACTTATTGTGTCAGGCCATCTCCTCCAGGGTCTTCCTCTCCTGCGCTGTCCCTCCACCCTTCCAGGCATAATAAACTTCTCCAAGGACTGGTCCCTTCTGGCTACGTGCCTAAAAATAGGGGAGATGGAACTTCAAAATCCTCGCCTCCAAGGAGTAACTTATATATACTGATAATATTTACCACAGTAAAATATCTAATTAATGTATTTTAGGTTGTCTATATGGTTATGTCTCTGATTAGTGCCTCAATTTGGATATAATGTTTACCATCTAGAAATTGCTACTATAAAGATTACTCATTTTACAGTTGTATTGATGAAGATAATCATGCTAATTTTTTAGGTTATGCTAATTTAATGCTCTGGAGACCTACTGAAAAGTGTTTTGGTAGAAAGTGTTAAAGAAAATCCCAAATACAGGATATTTAAAAAAGAAAAAGAGATGCAAACCCATGTTTATTGTGGCTTTGTTCACAATAGCAAAGAGTTGGAAACAACCCAAGTGCCGGCTGGTCAACAAATGAATGGATAGAGAAGCTCTGGTATATTCACACAACGGAATACTACGCCGCATTGAAAAACAAGGAACTCATGAAATACTATGCAAAATGGGTAGCCCTGGAGGACATTATGCTAAGAAAAATATCTCAGTCACAAAAGGACAAATACTGCATAGTGCCACTGTTGTAAAACAGGACTGCCATTGCTGTTGGGGTAAGACTGAGAAAGATGGGATAAATTATGTATACTACAATAAAACAGATAAGGGAAGAACTGTTTAAAAGAAATATGTAATTAGGTATTATTGTCATGACAGGAGTCTAGAACGAAGGCTGCATAGTGGAATGGATTTGGGGGGAAGGATGTCTAACAATGAAGGAATTTTTCTTTTACTTTTCAAAGAGCGACCTGCGGGGAGGGGTGGACAGGGAGAAAAGTGCAATAACAAATGAATGGAAATCCAAAGTATCTGTAAATATTCATTAAAATTAATAATAATAATAATGATGGTGATGATGATGATAAAAGATAGTAGATTAAAAAAAAGAAGGAAAAAGGGAGACCCCTAAAGCACTGCCTAAGAAACCAATGGAAGGGTCTGGTGTGCTGGGGCTGTGAAGGGCAGAAGCAGGTAACCATGTGGAACAGGTTCACGGGGGTCAGACCATCTGAGGGTCTCTTTGGAATTCTTTCCTTCAGCAGCTATGCCATTCCAACAATCTACACATATGCACATAGCAGCAGTAACAACAACGTTTCTTATAACAGAAGGGATAAAAATAACTGAATGCAAGTCACCAACAGCCTGTGTGTTAGTTTCCTCATCTGTATACCATTGTGTTACTTTGATTATAAACAGTGAATTTCTACTGTTGCAGCTGCTGAGGCTTCCAGATAAGTCCTCACGTTTTCCTTTCCCTGACAGTGTCACCCTCAGTGGTGAATTCCCTTGGGATTCTCAGATCCTTGATCATCTCCTATCAATCATTGCTCACACCCACTCCACTCCGGTCCTTCCTAACCTTGAATACAATATCCTAACGTCATTGAAATGGTCCTCCCCTCCTGGACCTCTAGCCATGCCTGAACCCTCTCTCATGCTGTCACCTTTCCTCTTCTTGCTCCTTTTACCCATCACGTCATTCTCCTGGAAGATCTCAACCATGATTTACTCTAAGCTGACTTTCCTGAGTGCACCTGTACACACACAGGCACACGTACATGCACATGGAGAGGCACGTGTGCATACTTACACAGACAATTCACACATGAACACACGTGCATAAGTATATATGCAGGTGTGAGCCCACATGCCCACTTCAACATGTACACGTGCAACTGTGTTTACACCCAGAAATTCGTGGATGCATAAATGCACCAATACAAAGTCATACAGTCACATACATGAGCACACTTCAGTACATGTTGACGTTCACACACATCTCACACACGCACCCACACATGAACATGCATGTATATCTGCACATATCTTTCTCAAATTTCCAGAGGTCTGTGCAGAGTTGTCGTCACCCTCCGGTCATTCCTGCTGGCCACCTCATTCGTGGGCAATCTCTCCCTCTACCTCCAGGATCCCATGCGCTTCGCTTTTTCAAAGAGCTTGGTGCATTTATGTTGTTTCCTTGCCCCTCCATTGATTTCTCCTTACCAGTTAAGTCAAGTCAGATACTGAGAACATCTGCACACTGTCTTTTCTTTAGCTTTTGAAGGCTAGCACACATTAGAGCAGCCCACATACCAATAGTGAGGGCAACACAACGAGGCCTCACAAAGTGAAAGAACAGACTTGCACATAACTAATCATTTCTGACTTTTCTCCCCCTTATATTACAATCCAATTTCTGAAAATGACACTTTGTAATCAATGTCTCAACCTTCTCACCTTCTGAATCCATGAGGGACTTCCAGCCCATGACTCCACTGCTCTTTCTCATACTGCCATCACCAGTGGCTTCTTGCATATGATATTAAATAATTCTTTTTAGCCCTCACCTAACTTACCTCCTGGCATCACTGACCATGTCTCCTTGAAAATACTTTCCTTTCTCTTCATATCTCTAATGATTCAACCTTTCCCTCTTGTAGTTGCATTTCTGCCTTTTCTTTCTACACTGGTATATTTCATACTC